ATCACAATTCTCTTTATCTTTTGCAAAATATTCCAAACTCATCCAGCGTCAACGCGACGACAGCTCCTAGAGGTGGTCATTCGACGCTCGAGAGCAAGGGATGTCAAGACTACCGGAATCGTTGCAGTATATCTTACCAGTGTGATGATCCCGCAAGCCTGAATAAAATAATGATGCGGTTTGATTGTTTTAGGTTAATTATTCATATTTAGATGGCATTTATTTGTGTCTGATTCCCAGTGCATCTGGAGGTGGCGCCGGTGTCGGCGATGTTTTAGAGGTTCAATAGCAAGAAAGCTGAGCCATGTGCCTCTGCCAATACATTTGATGGCTTTTCCTGTTGTTATATATTGCCCTCCTCAACATGTGTAGGACAATCTGTTATGGCTGTTGTTACTCCCGCCGAATGGAGCGTTTTCATTTCGTCGTCGGAACTTAGAAATACGTCAAGCCGAACGGTTCCTGTTGTATAAACAAGAAAGCAAACATTTTTTTTCACCAATTTATATTCCCTTTATAAGTCAGACTATGGCAAAACAACTGGGGAATCCGGCAGAAGCCAATGGGGAGCTCGGCAGTAACTCCCATCCCGCAGGCTCCGCGGAGCTGTTGCATGGTGGTGCTGGCGTAACCACAGAAGAGGAAAGCAACTTGACGAGGGAGGGCCAAGCTGCAGATGAAGACGGCGTTATTCCACTTGAGGGTAAATCGTTTGATTGGGGGAGCCGTCGTGCTACGTTATTCTCGAAATCTATATTGAAACTTCTGCTGCTATTGGCGGGTTTAGGAGTGTTGATGTCATCAAGGTATATAGGAAGAACGCTGGTGAAGACGCGTTTTGCTTTTTCCCCTAAGTCCAAGCGGGAGGAGGTGCTTGTGAGTGCTCCAGTGATGCCATCTGTAACTATGGATGATCTGGTGGAGTGTGAAGAGCAGTTGATCTCAAGTTTCTCAGGATTTGTAAACACGTGGCGAACAGCATCTCCTATTGTACAGTCAGCCTTTAAAAAATATTTTGTGCCGTCAAGGGAGGATGATCCATTGCCTCCCCCTGATCCACCGGCTCTGTACGATAAGCACATAAACGCCATGCTAGGAGTTCCTAGACCCAATGCCGAAGACGTCAAGGCTGTTCAAGAGCACAAACTGAATCTGCTTCTGTTGAATGGAGTTTGCGGTGCAGCATCAATAACCATAAGGAAACTGATGGAGCTAGAAGAGCTGCATGCAGAAACCGGTGTACCTGTGCCTATGCTGGGTCTGGGGAAACCGATAGATCAGGAGCAGTTGAAAGGGCTCATGATGCAGGAGAAAGAAGGGGTAACCACTGCTGAATTACTTCGAAATCTGGGCATTGTGGTTAAGGCCGAAGGAGAAACAATGAGTGGGCTTGACCTATTAAAAAAATATGCGAACGATTTGATTCGTGAAAATAAATTGATGAGGTCTCGCATCGCCGAAACAAAAGATCAATTTCTCCCTTTCTTAATGTTTCAGGAGCCCGGTGGTTTACAATATCTAAGTGATGAGCACCCGCAATTGCGTATTATTTATTCTGGGGAGCAGTTCGACGTACACAGGTTTACTATTGAAACAGAGTTCAGCCAGTTTCTTCTTCTTTATGAGCTGGTGACTTCGGCGTTTCCAGAGAAAGAAAGCGCAGCACCGACGAGTAAACAAATTTGGGATTTCGTGTTTAAACAGCAAAGCCATATCAATCATTTCGCCAGACGTGAACTTGAAGGCAAAAGAAAATATTTAAAGTTACACAAATTTACACAAACTAGGTTGGATGAGAGCCTTGAGGCAATCGTAAGGTTTATTACGTAGCCTTTTCAACTCTGCTACTGCGCATAAGAGCAAGAGCAGGATGGCTCTACACGTACAAAAACCCAATACCGAACTGTATTTAGCATCGAGTAATTAAACACTAGTTTTTGATGCTTTCTATGTACGGGTAGAGAGCCATGGCGAAGCAGAAACGAATGACTGGGGCTGCTCCTTTAGGAATTCAATTTCCCTTGGCACCCAAACTAAATAGTTATTTTAATTTCTATACTGGTGACCTTCCTCAATGGAAACAGCAACCAGCTCCACCTCACTTCATACATTGCCGCCTCTACATCGTGGCCTAGCTTTTCTTTAAAAAGGAAACGTATCCCCCATTAGTTTCAGTATCTTAAGCGGCATCACTTCTGCCAGTTTAGCAAAGAAGCCTGAACACCTCGTCTACACTGTTACTACTTATATCCCGTAAGCTATTCTGACTAGGTGCACACTCTGCAACTAGCTACCAAAATCTATGATTCTCTGCTTCACCATGGCAATCGCTTTTGCTGTCGCCTTAGAGTGTTTCCAGCAACTTGAATTCATGCAATATCAACTAATACTGAATACAACTCTGCTTACATCTTATTCACAGTTAGTGATTTCTTATTGATACCAGAAGAATATTAGGCGTAGCTTGAGGATTTCTTACATTCTGGTCACCCTCAGGGTGTTGGGCTTAGAGCTGCAACAACTGAACCCAAAGGCGTTCTTCTCTTATCGTTTTAGTAGGAAGCAAAGAGGAAATAGAATGCCATCAACAGCAGCAAGGAGTTCAACTTAGTAACTGCAAAAGCGCCTACATGTGTTAAGAAGCATATACAGGGAGCAAGCATACACCGCGTATTGTTCTAAGATAAGGATATTCTACTCTGCTTTCCCTCCCATATTCATCTACAGGAACGAAAAAGCTAGACAATGAACATTGTAATAGCTTGAAGGATACAAGCCATTGCGCAGA